CACTGTTAGGCCTGATTCACACCTAGGTGGCACAGTTTTTGCGTGTTACTACACGTGTTAGCAGCATGCGGTTATTTGCGCGGTTGCACATTTTTAATGCACATTTTAACGCGTGTACACGAAGATGTGCGTTTTGATTGGCAGCTCATAAACCATTGTGGGCAATGGAGGAATGCGCATTTAAATGCGCAAAAAACGCTCACAAAATTGTGCAACGTGCTTCTGTTGCACGTTTTGGGGCATTTCCATTTCAGTCTATGGGGCAAAAAAGTGCTTTTATCTGCCCAATGAAGCTCCCGTATCTTTTTGGGCGTTTTGGTGTTTTTCTGCTCCGCTGTGAACAGGGGCCATTGAAAATCGCGGGATTTCGTGTCTTGGACTATGTAGAAGTGCTTTTCCAACTGCTCCAGAGGAGTGAACCCGGCATTACTCTGGATTTGCTGTGAATTTCAGTCTGAAGTATTGGAAGTCTCTGGATAGTGCGGTCTGGCCGTATACTTCTCCGTGGCTCACACACCCCCCTACGCTCACCTCAAGTGCAGGTCCGTATGGGTTTCCTAGCTCGGACGCAGACAGGATCCATCCTGTCAGCATACGAGTACGCTCACCCGCACGGACGTGCAGGGTGGATGAGCGTAGGGCGGCGTACGGCCGCGTACTCCCATAGAGAAGGACGGGGGCTACATACCAATCACACGCAGCACCTGTCCTTCCCGGGAGCCGCCCGATAACGGGCGTGCATGGAGCTCTATGTGCCGCCCGATTCCCTTGTGAATGAGGCCTTAGAGTGTATTTCCACTTGTGTAGCCAGTTGTGGATAACATGTACTTTCTATATGTACCGGTTCCCAATCACACAGCACAACAATACAATGTACAAATTGCTGCTTACATTTTATTTGCTGAAAAATCTTCCTCCCCTCTTTTCTGTCATGATGAGGAGGATGGGGAGTTATGTTTACTATACTGGACCCGGTCTGTGCTGAGCTTCATTATCAATGTAAACCAGATGAGCACACCGTCTGCCCTAACAATGGGTTAAATGAGAACTATGAGGGGGAGGGGCTTTTCACTCACCTCATAGTTCTAGCCGACCTGTGACAATGAGACTGTCACAGGTCGGCTCAGTAGATCGGGAGGTGAGCGAACACATACCGGCGTTCGCTCACCTCTCGATCCTGTCACGGCTCTCTGCCGTGACAGGGGGAGGGGCTGGATTCCCCCCTTCCCGCTCCGATCCTCCAGCGCTGACTGGCGGAACGGATGGGGGAGGGCGTGGGTACAGCTGGCTCTGCCTCTGGATAGGCAGAGCCAGCTGTCACTCACGCAGCTGGGCGGATCTCGACATCGATGTCGGGATCCGCTCCGGCAGCGGCGTCTCAGTATACCGCGAGCTGCAGCTCCCTATATACTGAGCTTAGGGTGAGGGGAGGACGCTAGTTTGTGTCCTCCCGTTACCCTAAGGAGAACTATGGGGAAAAGCCCTAACCCCATAGTTCTCCTTTTAAAGATCTCAAGGCTCGGGCGGTACATTGTTTCACACGATGTCCGGGGGCTGGCGGTTTTCTACATATATATGTGATCAGTGCAGACAATGAGATGCAGAAGAACACAGCTCCACAAACGTGGTGTGAACAGTCCTTCAGACAAATCCGTTCCTCAGTTTTGTCCCAGGCTACTCTGAACACTTCAGACTTCCTGGACTCCTATGTATAAACTCCCCCCAAAGAAATATCTGGAAAGGTCAGAAATCGTTTCTCTGCGAATGAGAACTCCTAACAAACATGTATAATGGGGAATTCCTAAATTTGACTGCAAAGGTGGAAATATACTTTACGTCAAGCCTTGCCCCCCCCCTATCACCTCCCTGGGGGTCAGTGAGGCTGCCCATTGATCAACATTCAGCTGCAGTTGGGGTCAGGGTTAAGCGCGGCCTCAGGAACCGAATTTGCATATCAGAGATGTGTGATCTGGTACTATACTTCAAGGCAGGTTCACACCATTTTCTGGACCAGATCTGGAACGCACTGCGTTGTTTTGCTGCGTTTTTGACGTGTTCATTTTTAGGTCTTGCTGGGCGGCCTCTGCAAGACCTACAGATAGCCAGGAACAGAGCGGCACGATGCTTGCACATAAGAGGCATGCGCTTACCACAGATGATCTTTTCAGAGATACTGAAATGATCAAAGCCGGGGACAACCTGGGCAGCAATGCCCCTCCCCCCGTCCATCTTCCTATTATTGCCCATGCCTCAGATCACACAGCTCTGGGCGGATTCCACAAGTTCTACAAGGAATTCTATGTCCACTTCCGCCCTCATGGTTCCTATCTTCACAAATCTCTCTCTCCAAAGTCCAGGGGTGATGAGATCATCCAAACCAGGCCAGATTTTTTTTTTTTCCCCCGTTGCGTTTTTGACGCGTTTGTGCGCTCCGGACCAGACAAGATGTTATGCGCAGTTCTTTTCTGGTCTGGAACGGACTGCGCCGGTGTGAACTGAGGCCAAGAAGAGCATAGGGAAACATTGGGATGCATTTTAGGTCCAGAAACAATCTGGTCTGGAGGTGGTGTGAATGGGCCCTCAAACCGTAGAAATGCAGACAGGGGCCCCAGCCCAAAAATAAAAGCGAGTCCCAAGATAATTGACATTTTTGGGCACAATAGGTCATATAAAATCCCCTTCATTAGGACTGGAACTATCCTCTTCTTGTAGAATGTAACACTGGCCACTCAGCAGCTATTACCTGTATCATAAACAGTCACATTTTTATCAGTCTTTGTTACAGAGCTGCTGATCACTTGCAGCCTCCTTGCAGCCACTTCCTGTCTACAGACACTCCACGATGGCTGCATGGCTTTGCTCAGAGTGGGTGTCCTGATGGTCAGAACATTGGACCATACATGCATACTGTGTGTTGACATGACCACCTATTGGAAGCCCCCGTGATTGGATGACAACACAGGACCACAATTGGTAGACAGGGTTTGAAGGTTGTCACCATAAAACAGGAAGTGCCTGAACAAGAACCTCCATGGTGGGATCAGCAGGGATTGTTTTATTGAAAGCTGCAGATTTAGGAATATTGTAAATTAATTTAGAATTTGGAGATATTCAATCTGATATTTAATTGTCTTACAAAACTTTATCAAATTTCATTAACAGAAACTTTATCTGCAATATATGTTCTGATCAATATTTCTCTTTCATTGATTGGAGGACACAAACTTGGCATAGAAGTATTTACACTCGGGGGAAGTCCTATTTCTGGATATATAGTTTGTGTAAATTGGATATGCATTGGAATACTGGATTGAGTACCCCTGTGGAGGAGGGGCTCTGAGGGTAGGGG